CATGGTTACTGCGAGCTTGTTGCTTGTCGTAGATTTTTCTTGTGGGCAAAAACAAAGGTGCTCATTGTTTTTTAATCTTTTCTCTTTAAGGTTCGGAAGTGCCGGTCATTGAGCTTGCCAACTGCATATGTGCTAGCCAAATGGGTGAATCTTATCTCCTGAGTACTAAGGTTTCACAACTTTTTCTTCTCACATTTTTATGTTTGTGTGTACAATATGTGTAAACTTTGTTCCTAGTGAGTGAAGTTTAATAAATGATATGGTCACAACAAGGGCTTTGAAGGCCATTTAACTCCTAGTTTCTCTTTTCCTCGAAGTCCAGTTTGTTATTTAATTTTGTGTTTACTCTAACATCACTATCTATGACTTGCTAAGAGTTAAGCTGTATATCTTCACATCCTCCTCTAGAGGTAGGTCTGTCAATACAAGCTGGCTGCTGCTGCTGGTTTGGACTTTGGTTACTCAAAATTTTATAACTCAGTTCATTGGTAAAGTAAATTGCAGTTATATGTCTTACTCAAGGGTGTAATAGAAATTGAGACATTAGCATCTAAGATTATGTCAATTGTCATTCATAATCATACTTCTACTCTTTACACTATGTTTGGATAACAATAGTGAAAGGGAGGGGAGGGGAAGGAAAAAGAGGGAAGAGAAAGGGAGGAGAGTAGAGGTGAGGTGAGAGAGACCTTCCAACAATGGAGAGATTTTGTATATTAAAATGTGAAGGAAAATGGATTCCTCCATTATCCTTTCCATTCCCTTGCCATATTCGTTACCCAAATAAGGGAAATTATATCCCTCACTTTCTCTGCCCTCCCTTTCCCTTCTAATATTTCTATCCTAACATAAGGGATACAGTTTATCTTGATTACCTCTTTAATATGTCCCTTTATTTCCTCATCCAAATAGGAGCCTGGAGGTGAGTTGAGGGATATGTAAGACCTGTTAGCATATAAATTAACTACATGTGAGTCTATATGTTAGACCTAGAAATAAGACAACTTGTTAACTGTGTCACTGCTTAAGAGGGAAATTGGTCAGATTTGTGCTTTCCAATTTGCTCATGTATTTCCTTTGCTTGAAATTGCATATCACTTTCCAAATGGTGTGGTATTTGCTGGGAACATTTTTGTGGAAATGAACAAGGATGGGATGTTAGTACTTTCGATAAATTGTCATTTGTTTTAGAGTAGCTAAGTTAGGCACATTCTTTTGAGATTGGAATCAGTTTTCTAGTATCATGCATATCATATCAGCATACGTGCTTTTCATGTTAATATATTTTATAATTGTTTCTGATAGATATAGAGGTAGAACATGGGTAGTTTTGATTGGGTCTGTTGAGCATTTGGTTTGGCGGATCAAAATGGAATCGGTGATTATGTATTGAGTGGTATCAGGATGGGTTATCATTTGGGTTTGTTGGGTTATTTGAGTTTTGATCGAAAGACTCTTAACTGGGTCAATTTGGGTTTAATTGGGCATGAGTCAGGTCAACATTGAACTTTTTCTTGATAATTTATGCAACAACTGTGGATGATGAATTTTTCTGCCCCGATGTGGATTGGGACTACTGCTGCAGCTGATTAGGCTGCGTGCTATATTTGTTTGGTTATATTTTACTGTACTTTTGACATTTAATCTTTCATTGCTTTTGAGAAGTACTGCAAAAGAGAGATGTCTTTTTCTCTCTCCATTTTCAATTTTTAATTAGTAGTTCACTAGTTTATTAAAGATAAAAAAAAAACCTTGGTTATTTTGTGGATATCTATTTCTGTTGGTAATTTGGTATTAATTCAATGAGAGTTACAGTTCTTTGTTTGTGGACTTGTGCTTAATCAATTATTATGTTGTTAATCATGTTCTCCCTTTGTTCTATAATGTTTTACACACTTTTCATTCAAGTTTGTCCTAGATTAGTTCATACACTTTTTTTTTTTTTTTTTTATTTTATCTATGCCAAAAATGGGCCACTATCACAATTAACAATGAATCGTTTTCTTTTTTAAAATTAATAAAAGCACCCCACTATCTCCTATCACATTTATTACGCTCATAAATTTATACAGACAATCATCCCCCTCCCCCCCAACACACACACACACACACACACACAAAAAAAAAAAAAAAGTAAACCTTTCTGAGACAGAGAGTATCAATTAGGTATTTTTTTGTAATAGTTGAAAATGTAATCTGCTATGTGGAGATCTGTCAATACAAGAGTTTTAAAAATAATTATTTCGTATGAAAGACAATAATTAAATCATTGTTAGTGTTTGATTCAGTAATGCTCTGGTCAACTTCAATATGTATCGTTATCAGGTATCGAATCAGTTTGGTTCTTTTTTGGTCATAATCTGGTCTTGGGTCTAGGTATATATAACTTGATGACAAGCAACCTGGTCTATATTTAGATGCATTATATTTTCCCTTGCACAGCATGATCATGTATATTCTCTTCCATCTGGATGTGATTGCTTATTTTGTTTCTCCCTTATTTTCTGTGCAGAATGCTTCGGTGCCTTCAAAGATGAAGAGTTCATCTCATGATGGTTCTTGGTATCGTATCAAGGGAATGCATGGGCATAGTGGTGGTGATATATTTGCTGTTAAATCTGAAAAACTCGATGAAGACTTTTTTTCTCAAAGGAGCAGCATGGGCTTAGGGAATATGTACGATGGTATAAAGGAAGAATATTTTGATGAGCCGAGTTCTTCTATGAGGGATTTTAATTTAGCTGATATAAAGGGTAAAAGGCCAAAAGAAGAATATGAAGATTTGAGTACTCGTGTTGGCTATCCTCGGAAAAAATCAAAAACTCTTACGATTGGCAATAACCCATCACCGCAGGGTAAAATCTTAGGTGATAATTCTGGGATACCCAAGCTATCAAGGCCTTCTGGAAGAAGTATTGATAAAGTGCTTCATGGACCTCCTTACTTCTTATATGGAAATTTTGTGAATATATCTGCTGATGAGTGGCAAAAAGTATCTCAATATTTGTATGCACTCCAACCGGAACATGTTAATACTCAACATTTTTCCGCCTTAAGCAGAATGGAAGGATACATACATAATCTTCCTACTGAAGATCGGTTTCATGTTGATCCAAAGTCGCCAATGTCAATTGAAGAAGCGATACCACAGTCAAAGAAGTGGTGGCCATCATGGGATACAAGGAAGCAATTAAGCTGTATAAATTCTGATAATGTGGGATCAACTCAAATTTGTAGTAGCTTGGGAAAGATGTTAGTCAGCTCTCGAGGTGTACTTTCAAGTGAACGTCAAACAAAAGTAGTCTATTACTGTCGTACAATGAATCTTGTTTGGGCTGGCCCACAAAAACTTGCCCCCATGGAACCAGAACATTTGGAACGCATTCTAGGATATCCGATTCACCATACTAGAAATCCTGACATGAATTTGGTGGAGAGGCTCGAATCCTTGAAGCTTTGCTTTCAAACTGATACATTAGGATATTATCTCTCTGTTTTGAAGCCCCTATTCCCTGGTGGGATAACTCTGTTGTCTCTTTACAGTGGGATTGGCGGAGCAGAAGTGGCATTGAATCGGCTTGGAATTTATTTGAAAGTAGTTGTTTCAGTGGAGTCCTCTGAAACCAAACGTAAGATTTTGAGAAGATGGTGGCAGAATACTGATCAAGCAGGGGAGTTGGTACAGATTGAAGGTATTCAAAAGCTGACAATTAATAAACTGGAGTTCCTCATGAAAAAGTTTGGTGGGTTTGACCTTGTTGTTTGCCAAAACCCATGTACATCTTCAGAAAAAGGCTCTAAGATTGTTCCTGGAAATGGTGAAGATGTAGGATTGGACTTCACATTGTATTATGAATTTGTTCGTGTCCTGCAACGGGTAAGAAGTATGATGGGAAGGACATGACAAGCAATAAAGTCGCTATTCTGCAAGAGTTTAGTGTAGCAGACTGGAATGGTGCTGCATAGATAACCCATTTTTCAGAGCTTGAGAATGTAATAAGCTGTCATAATGTATCTCAGTTTCATTTACTGAGTAGTGAACAAATCAAATGAACATCAAATGCTTATAAGGAGCTGCTCTACAATGTTAACCAAAGAAGCATGCTCCGCAGTTTGCTAACTAGTAAATTTTTTTTAGTACTGCTTGATTAGCTGATAAATCATGTATTACTATTCAGATCTCGTATAATTATTGTTATTTCTAATCTAATGATATCGATCCATCTTATCTTATTGTTCCAAGCCATTTGCATTTTTGTCATTGAAATATTACTCATTAGTTCCCTATTATTCTAAAACCTAACCATAGACCTAAAGTTTTCTCAAGATTTATTGCAACAAATAGGAATTTCCCTTTCTGTTCAATTGTTCTGAATAAAAGCATCAATTCATTATCTTAGTCCATTTTGTGGGTTCTAATGTGAAAAAGTGACATTAAATTATACCAAAGTCTAGATTTTCTTTAGCACTTTGTTTGTCCAAATTCATGCAATTTTTAGCTAAAACCCCCAGACACATGCTCTATACATATCCCTTGGCATGCACTTTGAAGAAGAGATTAGAGAAGATAAAAGAGTAAAGTAATACTACTGTACCATAATACCTCAAATGTCCCTCTTGTAAGTGTGATTATTAATAATTTATTATTAATTATTAAGTAAGGATAAAAAAGTAATTATTATATTAATGAAAAGCCAAAAGCCAAAACCAAGACTAACTTTTTGTTTTTGGTGGAAAAGTCGGCTTTTCAGCTAGCTAAAAAGGCATTTACCAAACATGTTTTTTGATTATTTGACTAAAATGAAAAAGTCGAAAGTCAATAAAAAAGCCAGTCAATTTTACTTAATTGTGTGCCATAAGACTATAGGTCAAGTAAAAATGTTTAGAGGAAGTATATAACTTTTCATTTGTATTTTATTTACTTTTTTCTTTTCTACAAATTGAACTAATAGAATGTATATTAAGCAACAACTTGATCATGGAATATAGTGAATGAAGGGTGAGATCAAATAAAAGTGCTTCAATCTATATAAACATATCAAATCAATCCATACAATAGACATAATCATGTACCATAATTTCATCACACAACAAGGGAGAAAAATCCCAAACGGGATGAACTATTACTACATTGTATCCTAACAAATGAAAATCATCAAAGCCCCACCAAAAAATGCAAGGACTCTATGTTGTATACATATATAGATTCATTCACCTATCTAAAAAAAATGTAGCTTCAAATAAAAATCATAACCAAACACTAGAAATCAACACCCATCAACATGTTCTCCAAGCGAAAGCGGCATACCATCTTGTAAACATTCAATAGGAGGGATACTTAAGGTCTCTTGAATCCCATAAGCATTCCAACAAAAGGGATCATCAACAAGCTCCCCTTGAGCAGGCAAAAGTTCGACTTCCGACATAGTTATATTGGTGCAGGGCACTGCATCACTGCAGGCAAAGTGAATAGGTGCACTACGAACGTTGTTATATGTGCCCTTGATGTTCTTGTAAGTCACTCCTGAGAGGTAAACAGCCGAGGTTTCGTTCCTGCAGGCCTTTGTGAGGCAGTAGTATTGGTCTATTATGATGCTGTTGGTTGTGTTTTCCATCTGAATATCCTGAAATGATATGTCTGAAACTGTGCCTGACCCTCCTTGCCATGTCTTGATTCTTACCCCATTGTCTGAGTTCTTGATCAAGGCGCCTTTAACCGTTATGTTTGATACACACGAGCGCGAATTGTGCACTCCAAGACTCCCAATGCTAACAATTAGACAAGACAAAGTAGTGTTGGTTAGCTCAATATCTTTGGGAAAGGAAGAATTTTTCTTCTGAAACTGTATTTGCTCTTGGATTATGCTCCTTAACCCACTACTTTGAACATACTTTCAACAATTGAAGCAAACAATACTAAATGCACAAATATTCTTAGGCTTTGTTCTTTTCATCCCAAAACAAAAAGATTAAATAAATATAAAGACTACTCAAGTTCAATTAATACGTTCTACATAAAAGGCCAATAAATTTAAATAAGTGGAGTTTTAACAGATACAAACAATGTGATAAATGAAAAGATATAAGAAAGAAGGTAAGGAAAATTTCTGTATAATCTATTTGGTAACAATTCTTTTTTAACCTTATGAGCTTTAAAATTGATCTCCAAGCTATTATTTTAAACTTAAATAAATTTAATGCTAATACTACATCTTATATATTCTATGGAAAATTTTATATAATTTCAGTCTGAATTTTCAATTGAATTTGGCTGTTTCACTGAACACCATGAATACTGTATACAATTGAACTTAGTAACATCCAATTACACTAATTCCAACCAAACATAAAAATCCAAACAAAAACACACCAAAAAAGTCCTTTTCTAGGAAGTTCTTTAGCATGAAGAAAAAGACAATTAAATTCATGTGTTAATATTAATATTGTATAATTGAAAGTAAGAGAGTTCACGTTAAATAACACTATTCACCTGATCCCGTGACTATGGTCGCACACCACCCCTTGTATATCCACATCTGAACAACCTGGTCCTATTGATATACAATCATCTCCTGTCATCATTTACATAATTAATCACATTAATTTTGGGATCAATCACTAATTAAAAGGAATATACTTATTAACAACGAGCTAATCACAAGATTAATTTTTCCGTGTGCCACTTGGAATACAAGGGAGTGGAAAAGATCCTTAGACCGATCATATATAATTTTATAGGAAAAAGTTAAAATTTGTTTGTTTGGTTTAGTAAAAAAAAAAGATATAGCTCGACCCTGGTTGGAAGACAAATAAAATTCCGTGTGCCACTTGGAAGCAGGGGTGGAACATAAGGGCGCAGGTTGGAAGTTGGAACCTTACTCTACTTGTAATTTTATAAGCAAAAGTTAAAATTTGTTTGTTTGGTCTCTTAAAATAAAGTTTTAGTCTCGTCTCTAATTGAAAGACAAATATGTTGAACTTACTTTTCTAATAAAAGTACAAATCATCCCAATATATACATATACATTCAAGAAAATAGTTGTATTTGATCTTTGGTTAGTTTGACCTTGATCTAGGAATAATTATTCTACTAATAATATTAGCAATAATACAAAAAGATTAAGTAAATAATTAGGCTTACCATTAGCAATCATGGAGTTGTAAATGCCAACATTTCTAGTGTTTTCAACATGGATGCCATCAGTGTTGGGACTGCTTTGAGGAGAATTAATTTGGATCTTGTCTATTAAAACTCCATCACATCCATCAAATTTTACATGAAATTGTGGACTGTTTTGAATTCTTAGGCCACTCATCCTTGTATTGTTGCTCAAGAAAAACCGAATCATCTGTGTAAAATTTAAAATTAGTATGTACTAAATAAGGAAATTAAAGCTTATAATAACTTATGTAATTATATTTGTGACATGATCATAGATATATATTACGGTTATAAATCGGGAACTCCTCTCAAAGGAGCAAACGAGTCAATCCCTTCCAATTTTTTCAAGAACTAGTTGCATAAGATATCAATTTTACTATGAAAATGAATTTTCAAATGAATATTTTTTTTTTTTTTTTTTTTTTTTTTGAAATAATTTTCAAATGAATATTTTGTTCAAAACATGTTGGTAATATATATATATGTTTTCAGTATTATCTGAAGTAAATATCAACTACCTTAATAATTTCCTGGATTAAATCCCATTTACATCACCTATTAAAACAACTATTGCCTGCTTAATCCTTTCCTATGTACATTCCTTGCTCAAAGTATATTCCATTCACATGTGTAAAAACAAAATGCTCAATTTAAGGATCAAAATTTCATGAATAGCAAGATAACTATCCTAAAAATAAATTGAATTCCCCCAATAAAATTCCAAAAATAAACGAAGAATCTTAAAATTATAATTTAACTTTTTTTTTTCCTAGTAAAATTAAGTTAATAAAAAATGTAAAAGTAAGATATGGTAACTTACAGCAGGACTATCACATGGTCCAGGCAATGTTGATCCATGTGGACCCTGAAACATAGAAACAACACAAAATTGTAAAACCCAATTAAGATTGCATTAATAATAAAATAATAATATTAATTAGGTTAATTAATTAAGAATAATTACCCTGTGAGGTTTACAAGGTAGGTCCCACCATTTTTGACCATTACCTTCAATGGTTCCAGTGCCATTTAAGGTGAAGTCATTTAATCTGTAGAACACTAACCATTGCCTTTTGCTGTCTGACTCCGGCCAGCAATCTGGTCCTTCTGGTGGCATTAATATGCCATCAATCTGTACCATACAACACACGTTTGATCTCTTTATTACACCAAGCTCGACTTTCGAGTATTTATTACGGGGTATTCAATTGGAATAATAGTTAACGACATTTTACATCTTAAATTAAATGGTGATACGTAAAAATGTCAGTAGGAATGAAAATTTTCGAACAAGGGAATATTTTTTCATTATCAAATAATAAAATAGCTACTTGTGTATCACTTCCAACTCTCCCCACATACTTATTTTCGTAATTTAATAAATGCTTTAATTTTTTATGGCAACATAATAATGAATGTAACGAAAATGTAGCAATATTTTAGTATTAACAAAATTCAAACTGGCGCGAATTTTAAAATGAGTCAGCTAATTAAATTTAGTGTTCTTATTTTCTAGCTGTATCAAAATTTAAATTAGTGATAACATTATAAATAAGAAAACTTGTGTTTATGTACTCATTTATTCAAACTATGAACTAAAAAACTATTACTCAAATTTAAGTTTTAATTTAATCTTTTCCTTATAATAATTGTTAATGTAATTACTATTTCTTACTCTAACTATAGCTCCACACACATCCTCTACCTTAATTTTTGACCCCTTTTTTTCTTAATTGTCAAATTAAATATAGTAAAACTTAAATAAAATTAAAAACCACCCATATATACTAGTATACAACTTAGGAGTTTATTTATTCACTTATTAATAATTTGAAAGTGAAAAAATAATTTTTTAGAAGGTAATTAAATTTTCAGTGACAACACTCGTACTATGATAAGCTTGAAAGATAGAGTTTACCTGCAACACAAGGCCGGGCTTACACGGGCCACTAAAAATAGAAGAAGTGATCATGAACTTCCCTCTAGCAGGAACAAGAACAACACTCGATTCGACGGCACACGCCGCCTTCCAAGCAGCCTGAAATGCATTAGTGTCATCATTTGACCCATCTCCGACTGCCCCGAACGAGGTCACGTCGAATATGCACGGCCCTTCCGAGTCTGGGCTCGGGTACGGAGTAGAAGGAGCAACAGGAGAAGGTGAACTTGGATCATCACCGCTTGGAACAGGGGCATAACTAGGAGAAGATGGTGCTAAAGATTTCCCACCTTTTTTCTTATGATAATGAGCTCTTCCTTCTACAAATAACACATTTGTAAAATGTTGGGATAAAATTATCGATATTAATATGACAAATGTATAATACGAACAATGCTCCATTTTAATATAAGGAGTGAAAAAAAAAAATAATGTTTTGGTTAGTTTTGTTATTATGTGTTTGTGAAAATGAAGTGAACTTCTATAACTATATATAGGCAAAAAAAAGGTGTTATAGATAAGTGAAAAAGATGAATTTGGCAACAAAAATTGGTACGGAGTATATTTTATTTCGTTGCTGAGTAGTTATATAAACTATGGGCAGTAATTTATGGAAAATAAGTAAATAGAGTTAAATGTACAGTGTCAAAAGAAATGAGTATGGGACCATTTTCATGAAGTTTGAGGCTGTGAGGTATACTTGGAGTTTTAATGCCTAGTTGGAACACCAAAGAGTTGTGCTTGCACTCGTAAAGCGACACGTGTTGAGTTTTGGTTGATCCAAGATCTCTATGAGGAGACTAAGTTTTGTATTGGAGGGATATAATGGTGTACACTTATTCATTTCACAATTGAAGCTTGCTGTTCAAATAAATGGGTTAGGTTTAGGTTTGATTTTCTTTTTACTTTAGGACATGGTTGTGGTACTTCAAAATTTAATAAAAACACAATGTATTACGATAAATGAAAATTTTGTCAAATTAGGTTAACTTTAAGTAGTTTTACTAGTTTTTATTTATTATATTAGTCGAATTTAAATTTCTCTCAATATATTTTGATCATATCATATATTGTTCGCTTAAGTTAATGTATATACAAGTAGCTCTACCATTGGATCATATAAATGGGTAACGACATGAATTAAATAAGACTAATTCTTGATTTTAAACTCGAAAAACTATTTTTATCTAGTGCATATTTTGTAAACCCTAACATTTATATATCTTGTATTGATGGAGAAAAATTGTATATTATTGAATAGTAGGTCTCTCACATATACGTATACGTATATGATTTATGTCTTTTACCATTATCTTTGTCTTCTTTCAATAAAAATTTTAGAATTTTAGATATTTTTTTTAGCCAATCATGTCTAACAAATTCTTGGAGTTATACCAATCGTTAGAGTTCAATAAAAATCTGTCTCAATCTGCTAGCACTTTCTAATTCCAAGGTCTAAATATAATTTGGGTCACCAGAGTTATACTTGATAATTTTCTCTTTTAGTATAGGGGTTTTTTTTTTAATAAAAAAAGGAATAATGAAATTCCTTCAATCAATAGAAAGAATATTATAATTGATTTGTATTTGTATGATAATGTAGAAATTATTATACCAATACAATCCAAACTTATTGTTTAGAAATTTATTAGTGAAAGCTCTAATATCTAAATCTAACACCTCATATTCGGTATACTTCTTTGGTACAAATACTACAGAAGTTGTTGCATGCCACATATATATATTTAGAGGAAAAACTATTGTGTGACCAGGCAATGCTCTGGTTTGTTACTTTGACTGATTGATGTCTTATTGTATTTTTGAATTGGACAAAATAAATATATTTATTTGTAACTTTGTAAGTTTCAAAATATAAAGTCCTTTTTTTTTTTTTTTTTTTTTTTTTAATATGTTGAATATTAGCAAATAATAGAAGAGCTAATGTGCAAAATAAACTCACAAAATAGACACACCTCAATACAAATTGTAGCAAAATACCTTTAGAGAATGTAAATGTCACGTTTGCTTTGAGAATTGAGTTTGGTTCAAGTTTAATTTGCTCAAGTTTAGACATATTTAGGATAGATCAATTCTCAAATAATATAAGCGTTATACCATACTAAGTTGATCAACATATCACAAAAATTAAATAAGCTATAAGCTCAAAATTAATTCATATCGAAACCAAATCATCTATTTTCAAATCCAAGGAGCTTCAATCTCCATATCATTTCTAATCGAGTAATTTACGAGTAACAATACAATTCCATTTGCCATACGTACGTTTAAATCAATAATATGAAAACTAAGAAATACAAATTGGGCTCCATAATACAGTACCTAATATGGTATTATACATGCTGACGTGCCTACTGTCTAGCTTGTACGTACTAAACAATAGGAACTTCATATAGAATTATTTATTAAATGAGTCGGCCTCTATTTTTAGTGGCATTTTTTTGGCATCATGTATTTGTTTTTATTAACTGAAATTTCTACCAAACTTTGGTTACATTTTTTATTTTTATGTTTATCTCTTTCGTTCTATGTTTTTTGTGAAGTGTAGAAACACGGTAGTAGTAGAAGTATTGTTTTTGTTGTATGTTTTGTGGCTCACAAACTATCTAAAATGTCCCACTTTCTACTTTTGATCTCTGTAATTTCTAAGTCCCCCCCCCTTTTTTTGGGACTAGTACATTGTACAATATGCAATTTCCATTTCCTAGCCTTTTCTTTCCTTTAAGGTTCCTAGAGAGCTCAACACGTCGGTAACTTGCTCTATTGTATACTGCCAGTGCGAGCTTACATACCTCTCCCCATACTATACCAATACAAAATAGAATTTGGATGATAATGGGTCGAATACTGGAACTATTATTGTTATTGAATATGGTATATGAAAACTAATAATGAAATAAGTCATTATTTCATATACTCGAATATTGGGTAACCAATTTTCGAATCAGATATTATATCAAATACCAACATGACATCCATATATAGTCAGATTAATCCGATATTAACAAATTGAGTACCATATTTTTGGATTTGATATCAAATCGAGTTCTTTTCTCCCTAGTTTTTCGATTATTTATCTTTAGTCTACACTCAATATATACTTTCCCACCAAATAAGACTTGTCCTAATAGAAAATATACAATAAAAAAAAAAAGCTCTATGTAAGAAATTGTTTTCTAGGAAAATAATTTTTACCAATTTTTATATGTGGTTGGCTACACGGTGTGGCTAGTCATCATGGGGTTACTTTGTTAGTGTTATAGGGATTACTTCGTCAGTGTTATAGAGGTTATTCGGTCAATGTTATAAGCTTTACTCGATTATTGTTATAGAGTTATTGTGTTCTTTTACAAGCGCACACAAAACACGTTACCTATCCCAATATTTTATTCACAACCGGGTGTACCGTGCAATCAACTAATCCAAAGTTAGTTTTTGCTCTTCATTAGATGATTAAATGAAAAGAAATTATCAAAATGAGAATAAAATGCTCATGGGTATACCATGCCCCCGAGTGTGTATAACAATCTCTTACTCCAAAAAAGGGTCATTAATTTAAGCCGAGTAAAAAAATTAGAAAATTTTCGACATGACATTTTCCCTATCTACTAAAAACAGTATGTATGTATTTATAAGTACAATTTAATTCAGGTGGAATAGAGGACAGGGTGCCCATAGTTTCTTTAATTGAAATTAGTTGTTAGTGGTTTTTCTTTTCATATTGACAACTCACAATTGTTTTTTGAATAATAAATTGATAATATTCCCTCGTTCTCCTATTAATTACTTCGTACTTGGTCTTTAATTTCAAAATATGATCCAATTATTAGAAGTATCATTTATGAACTAAAATAGATTGGGGTCAAATTTATTTGGCCTTTGTACAATTGTACGTCGCTTCATACAGAGCACTACGTACGGAGTATTTTAATATATTTTTGTTTTTCATTTTTTTCCACTTGTATTCCGTAGTAAAGAAGAGGGAAATAGTTGATATACCTTTTTTTTTTTTTTTTTTTTTTTTTTTTTTTTTTTTTACAAGAATACTTGAAGTACTTGATTAAGACTTATTTTATTTAAACTTTTAAAAACTTATTTTTAGCATTAACCAAAATTATGTTGTATTATAGATTGTATAAAATTGCATGATACACAATTACATGTGTATTGACAATAAGAGTCAAATACAAGTGTTTCTATTTCAATTATCTGTTTTATGATAGTTGATAAAGATTTCGATTCATTGTAAGTAATTTCCTAACACATAAAGTTGTGATCAATTAGATTTGACATACATCATTCTATGATCTTCTTCAACATATAAAATGTCATGTGATTTCAATAATGGATTGTTTTTTAGTGCAACAAAAGTGATAAAGGAAAAACTTGATAAGCATTGTTTGGACGATTTGATGATGGAAAGAAAGAAAGAATAAAAAGAGGACAGAAAGATAAATCTATAATCTATTTGTTGTGGTTCATGTCAAATAACAATTAGTCTAACCTAAAAATAAAAAATAAAAACACAAAATCTCGTGACTCTTTTTTGTTGGATTGCTTCTTGTGGTTGGAAGATAGAATATTATAGGCGTAGAATGAAGAGATGAGACAACAGAATTAAACGATTCACGGGCCAATTTGAGACTCTCCACGTCCACTACCAACCAGGTAAAAGAAAAAATAATTTGATAAATAAATAAATAAACAAACTATAATATCATAATAAGTACTTCAAAATAAAAATTGATGATCTATCTATTATTATTGTATATTTCCAAGAACATTTGCCTCTTTGAGCAGTAACTCTGAATAATAGAATAATTTTTTAATTTGATATGAGATTACTATCATATGATTGTATTTTTTCCTATTAATCCTATTTTATATTCTCTTATTCACACATATACAATTGTTAAAGTTAGCCCCTATTCTCTACACTTAAAAAAAAATATTCAGTAAAAATAATTTCGGTGTAGTAAAATTAAGTCCAGTAAATATAAGGAAGAAATATAGTTAAAAATGTGTAAAATTAATTTTAATTCAATAAAAATATAGTTCACTACAAATAATTTTAATTTGACAATAAGGTAAAAAAAGCAGGGCCTTTTTTTAAGAATAAGGGAAGGTCATACAACATAAATTACACTTGTCTGTTAGTCATACACATACTAACCCAATTGATGGTCAAGAGTCTTAATTCCCAATCCTACCTAACTTTTTATGACTAGTATCAATTAACCTATAAATCCAATAATGCATGACCTAAATCAATCCGATCTGAATTTGATCCAAATAATCTATTTGCCATATAATATTACCTATTCTTTTACCAGCCGAAATCATAAATTCATTCTACGAAGCAACTAAAAATATGTGACTTGTGCCCTGGAAAAGCTGTATTGGTATCTACCAACTACCAATGAGGCAGTAATATACGTGACCTATCAAATTATTTTATGGTGAAAAGTTCATCAAAATCAATTTAATTGTAAAGTTATAAGTTTGTATGTTGCATACGTCTCTAGT